TTCTCTTCAATCTATCTATAAATCTTGCCTGATGAAAAGCCAACAAATATTTTCAAGTGTTTAATTTTGACTGGTGGAAATTGGCTGAGCTGAAGTAATATCGACGCGAAACTCTTTTTCTGTATCAAAGATATAAACTGGCTTCAAAGAAGTAACCATTCAATTAAATGGCTTAGCCTCTGTTTAGTGACCACTCGAGCTTCTTCTGTCAAATTTTCAAGTAAAGCGCGTCGCGAACACGCAGAAAGTCGCAGGCACGTTCCTTCGAATAAGAGCTACATATAAGCGATCATCAAAAGTTGCCTTTATCACATCTCTACGACAATTAAAACATGAAATGTGCGGAATTTTTATAATCTTTATCGTTAATGAGAGCTCACAGTTTGCTGCATCACCCACTCCATTTTAATCAGATTACAAATTGGCTCGTGTTTCCAAAACGTTTTCTTCATGAGATCATGACATCCTGTAGTGTTAATAAAAAGACTGAGGAAAATGGAGGACGCAAGTATGCGATGGCGTTTCATAGTTTCATAGAAATCCAGGTACAAAAAAGTTTGGAAATGGTGTTTTATCTGACGGAACTTAGCATCGTCCATTTCGCCTCTCGCCATATCGGGTGAATGAATTATTTTGCTCGTCATCTTTCCCCTTGCAAGATTATTTCGGGTCACGGCATCATTTTACGGGATCTTCTAATAAATCTTTTCTTTTTCGGAGAGTGTGTGTATATACGAGTGTGTGCGTGTGTGGGCGGGAGGCCAGGGTCGCATACGAAGGGGAAGTTAACATTTTCCCTTTAAGTTGTCTTTCTGTAAGTGGATCAAATTAATTGATCAATGAATTTAGAAAATTGTGATTTCTTGTTTCTGCCAAGAATTTGAAGGCGATTATGGCACACAAAGGCAACTTTTGATAATATTTATCATTACTTCAACCATTTGCATTCAAATGTTACGTAATTTTCATCACTGCATGATTTTCATTAAGGTTCGTTTATCGATGGTCACTAACAGATATTACACTTATAGAAACGGCTATGTAATTCTTATCTCGGTACAGTTTCGGTCATTTTTGCTGTAGGGGTAAAACAGGGAAAACGTTAATCAGAATTTCTCCAAAATTACACCGATTCTGAACTGAAACTTCGCACCTAGTTGGTTATAATATTCTAGTTTTAAATTTGTAAAAATCTCTTCAAGCTGGCCTCTACTTCTATAGGGGCAATTTGCCAACGAACCTAAAAAGTCAGATATTGCACGATTAATTTGGCGATGTTTACATCTAATGTTCTCAACAACAAAATTTTTGGGCAAATGAATCGTGCTGGGCTTCAAAAGAAAGTTATTTTATGAGCAATTTCCCGCAGAGAAGTATCCCTTCTGGCTTGGCTGTCATGATCATCTTTCGAAAGAATATAATCAGCTTTCGTGGAGGACTACTCGACGTGCTGTACCTCCTTTCATGGGCATTTGGGCAATCCCTAATCCCCTGTCGAGGTACTGTTATACTTGTATGGTCATTTGCAACATGTTTAAGTTGGCTGATCTACACTAGACTATCCTAGCACCGGTCATTTGTCAATAAACATGAACGTTTTCAGGATGGCGTGACGCTGTATCTCTCCATGAAGTTTTCACCGGTCTCTCCAAAGAAGACGAGAAACAGACATTTTTCGATATTTTAGCCGATTTGTGCGCATCCTGAACTAAACACAAAGAAACAAAACAGGAAGTTTGTAAACACTGAGAGTATAAATCCCAACTTGTCAGCAGTAGCGCTACATATAAAACCCAGTTGCATTAATAACAATTGGTACGACTTGCGCTAGACCTATCACAACGTGAAGATTTTGAACAACTCGGCATCCATGCGCTACGACAAATGGAATTAGGATTTCATCACAGTCCTTTTTCTAAAACAATTTAGTTTTTTAAGAAAAATATTTCACGTGCTCGAACATTATTTCGGCTCAGAGCCTTGAGATTTCTTGTTCTTGAGATAATAAAACGTTTTGGTAAGTGCTTATTCTCTGCTGTCGCATGCATTGAAGAGTGCAGATTTAAAATAATCTATGCTGTCACTGATGAACCAACGGGCGCAGTCTTCGTAGTAATAAGCTTGATAATCTCCACGGACTAACGTCATTGAACCAACCGATCTCCTTTTCCTTCGAAGTGAGACGAAAACTCGGGGGATAATTAAAGAGACCTTTGACTTCCTCTTCCCACCGAGCAATTGCATAATACTCGTCTTTTCTAGCTTATGGAAGATATCAGGGGAAAAAAACTTTAAAGAATAATTGTGATGAAATCGCTGTTATTTTTCCTGAAGCAATCCAAATTACATATTAACCATAAGGAGTTTTGTTTCGAGTTACGATTTGCATGCCGTGGCTTATGACTAGTTGAAAGGTGGAATTTTGACGTTATCTTTTTTAAGCCAATTTTCTGTTTCTAACTTTTTAACTGTAATTGTTCTCTTTATCAAGACGTAATGGAAGGAAACATTGATTAACTCGACCGCGCTGCAGTGGTGATACGTCTCTCGTCATCATATCTTATGCAAATTTTCTAATCGTTTTCAGATGATTCGAAATATTTCGATCCCTTTCGCCAGGAAATGACAACTGCCCGAACCCGTTCTTTAAAGGAGATGCATTTCTTTCAAATATTGCTATTTTTGTACATGTAACTAGGTCTTATATGTAGTAATGCCGCTGACAATTTGCGATTCCTGCTATCAATGTCTACGATTTTCCGATCCGTTTTCCCGGTTTGTTTGTTTCTTAGTTTTTTCTTCAGAATGCATAGAAATCTGCTGAAATATTGAAAAATTTCCGTTACTCATCTTCTTTGGAACGACCGATGGAAACTTCATGGAGAAATACAGCGTCAGGCCATCCTGGCTTTGTTCATATTTATTGACAAATGATCGGTGTTAAGATAGTTTCGTGTGAACCAGCCGTCTTTAACATATTGGAAATAACGTAGAAGTATAGCAGTGTATCGTTAGAGGACTTAGGATCGCTCAACAGAAGGCATAGCACTCGAAATCTGGATGTCAGTTCCATAATCGGTGTCCTTTTAGAGAAATTCAGATAAACGTTTTCCCTTTTTTACCCTACATGAAAAATTCCTGAAACTGTACTAGTATAAATCGTCTATGGGATGTTCACATTTACATTTACTCTCACGAAGAATTTGAATGCATCAAAGTAAAAGGCGAATGATGTCGCCATGTATGGTAGGAGTACCGATTCGTAATGTTGTATCTAGCTTGTGATAGAGGAATAGACATTTTACACTTTTTTGGGATGTCNTCGACCGCGCTGCAGTGGTGATACGTCTCTCGTCATCATATCTTATGCAAATTTTCTAATCGTTTTCAGATGATTCGAAATATTTCGATCCCTTTCGCCAGGAAATGACAACTGCCCGAACCCGTTCTTTAAAGGAGATGCATATCTTTCAAATATTGCTATTTTTGTACATGTAACTAGGTCTTATATGTAGTAATGCCGCTGACAATTTGCGATTCCTGCTATCAATGTCTACGATTTTCCGATCCGTTTTCCCGGTTTGTTTGTTTCTTAGTTTTTTCTTCAGAATGCATAGAAATCTGCTGAAATATTGAAAAATTTCCGTTACTCATCTTCTTTGGAACGACCGATAGAAACTTCATGGAGAAATACAGCGTCAGGCCATCCTGGCTTTGTTCATATTTATTGACAAATGATCGGTGTTAAGATAGTTTCGTGTGAACCAGCCGTCTTTAACATATTGGAAATAACGTAGAAGTATAGCAGTGTATCGTTAGAGGACTTAGGATCGCTCAACAGAAGGCATAGCACTCGAAATCTGGATGTCAGTTCCATAATCGGTGTCCTTTTAGAGAAATTCAGATAAACGTTTTGCCTTTTTTACCCTACATGAAAAATTCCTGAAACTGTACTAGTATAAATCGTCTATGGGATGTTCACATTTACATTTACTCTCACGAAGAATTTGAATGCATCAAAGTAAAACGCGAATGATGTCGCCATGTATGGTAGGAGTACCGATTCGTAATGTTGTATCTAGCTTGTGATAGAGGAATAGACATTTTACACTTTTTTGGGATGTCTTTGTATGAAAATGTGGCCCCAGAACTAGAACAAGCACCGTTGTTACCATGGAAATAAGAGTGAAAAGGGTTTTTTTCGCATCCCCCCTGAGTGCCTAACTGCATGCAAAATATGAAGGGGGGGTTGTAAAATTTTCATTTCTCTAGACGTTTGTTAACTACAGAGATTAGTTCTTAGCAGCCCCCTCTGTCACTGCCTTAATCCCTTCCTCAGAACAATGGTGAATTCCAGCCAAGAGGTTGAACAGGGAAAAAGTCATCATGAAATCATTAAGTTTCCTATCAGTGGGGTAGGGCCGGGATGATGAACACTTCTCGAAATGGTTGCCACTGATCATATGCCTTGTATCGCCGATATATGGGCGATATCTCGGAATTAACAGCCGTTAAAGTGAAACCTGGGACATATCATTGGCCTGTTAGGTAGTAGCTTTCTGAGTAATGTGTTCCTTTCTTTCAGTTTAAAATAACAGAACTGATGCCAGAGGCATACCACAAATAGTCAATTGGAGAACAATACTATGTTGCAAGATTCGAGAAACATATTGCAATTATTTTACTGTAGGATGCTATTGTAAATTTTGTAGACCGACGATTATTATAAAATGGTGCAGCTTTTGTAACAAATACGTAGCTTGACTATATTACAAGAGGATGCAATACCCATTAAAACTGCGTCTGCTATCAAAACAGACTTTTGACACTAGACAAAATAAATACCCCTGAATGACCCTACGAAAATAGAGGTAAAGTACGGATTGTTTTCATCCAGATGATGTAACGATACCGATGGATTTGATTGAAGGACATATGAAACTTTTGTCAAAGTATAAGAAAATTCTTGAAAAATCTACGTTTTCCGGACGTCATTTTAGTTTACTAACACCATCACTCCTTGCGTCTTGTAAAGCGGGCCATCAGAGTCTTGTTTGCCACTTTCTCAAATACATCAGCTTTCTGCAAGAAGTGCTTGGTGATTAGCTTTACCAACAGTACAGAAGGTAAGATATTTTTTTGTTGTGGTTTCCTTGTAACTTTGCAAAAAGGTGAAGAGGTCGAAGTGGTGAAGTTTAGCCGGGCGCAAGGGTTTTTGAAAACTGTTTCTGATAACTTTTTCAGTTTGATCCAACAAAATCACAGCTAAGGATTCAAGCTTTTTCAAAAAGTAGTTTCAATAACACGCGAGTCGAATACTTTACTATTTGAAGATCTGCAGAATGAGAATTCTTGGGAATACGCACAGGCATGCAATCATGCCTTTTTCTTTTTGAACTCATAGATTTGAAAGTATTAATGTTACGTGTACATTTCCGTCGGTGTTGCTCTATTCAGTTATTCCAAAATCACTTCTATTTTCTGTTCTTATCTGAGTTTGGATTTATTGGCATACTCCTCTTTCCGACTCTGCTTGCATAATGATGAGTTAGGGCAGACACCCTTTGGGTGTCACCTTGTGGTTAACACTTTCAGTATAATTTTCATGCCCCAAATGACGTGCAGAGACAAAATTTGATCGTGTTTGCTACTTAAGTGTATCTATGACCTTGGAATGAAATTATTGACTTGGAATTTTCTGAACGTCGATCAGAAAATTGTTCACATATCGTCAGCTAATAAGTTTTTTAACTTTATTATGAAATGGATTTAAATTGCCGTACCTGTTTTCGTAAATAATGAATTGCAGTCCAGGTACAGTGTGTTTTCAAAGATTACGACTAAAACTGAGCACTTCTTTGATCTCTATAATTCTCAGAATTCAGTATGTTTTCAAATGGGGTTATTACATCAGCCAAATCTGGCAGTTTTGTTTTCTTTATTTACCGCTCACCTTGGGTAATTTTCTCTCGAAAAGTGAACAATGATAATTGAAATCATAATATTTTGCACTTGAATTCCATCACGAATTGCCACTTGTCGATATGTCGTAAGATAAGTATGTCATAAATTAACCGAACAGTCTCGAGCACTCAAGGACAGTTCGAACGATTACGTTAATCTGTACATCAAATTTCGAAATTTCCTTTGTATAATCTTTTACAACGGACACGTATCACAACAAAATAAATATGCGCTATATTGAGCAAGCNGAGTTTACTGAGATACAAAAGAATAAAAAGGGAGAACAGAATGATAATAATAATATCATAGTTAACAAATTACTCAGCAATTTGTCACCCACGACATTAAAAGGTAATCAAATAGTTTTCTCGTGAAACCAGGAAACAATTCCACCCGCGCTCCGCTAAAACTCCGACAATCTCCCTCGCCTAAAGGCTCGGGAAATTATCAGAATCCCGACAAAACGCGCGCGAAACCACTCCCCAATCTTACTCGTCGCCATTCGATCACACATGCTAATTAAATATTGACCAATATAACATAGGGGAAAGACAAAGATTCACAGGAGAATTAAACAGATTACATTAGTTGCTGGAAAGATAACGCAGATTAGTTCAATTTTTACGGCGTATTCAAGTCCAGTAGATCAATATAATCATTTGCCTCCGAGAGTTTCTGAAGGAGCATATTGTAAATGTTGTGTTTAAATTTCGCTTTCGGCATTTGACGAATTTCATCAGATAGGTTATTTCAGATTCTAACACCGTTTCTTAAAAAAGACATGTTTTGCTTGTCTAATCTAGAGTATCCAAGAAAAAAGTTGCCTCTTGTCGATGATCTTGTGTTGTGTGAATGAATATTATGTTGGTAATTAAATAAATTACTTATTTGAGGTGGCGATGTGTTCTTTGAGACGTCATGCATTAAGATGGCAACTAACTTGAAGTAAAGCGGATCTAGAGGTAATAGACTGGAAGAAATGAAGAACGGTACTGCGTGAGTTTCATAACCACAGAATGTCTATATGGTCTTTGTTCTGGTAGGAATAGATATGTTTTTTAATGAACGAGTTTTCATCGTTGAGATGTTCTTTTTACGCGGTCGTGGATGAAGCGTGTCGTGCTACCAATGTATTGTTGATTGCAGCTGTTACACGTGAACCGGTACACGGCATTTCGTCGTAAACATAATCCGGTGTTAGAGATAGGGCATTTGCCTCTGGTTCATTTGCATATTTTGGGGGTGTGGGATAGGGCTTGTCTGAGCGTGTAGTCGGAAAAGACTTTTTTAATACAAAAACATGGCCGATGTGCATGTTTGTACAGGCACGCCAGTACAGTAATCTTGACATCACTGGTTGGTAATAATGCATAATTGTTTATGTGTAGCTCTGTTTCCTTGATATTTCAAAATCGTCATCTAAAATATTTTATTCATATATTTTAGAACCAATTTGGTGTGACTTGAGTGAGTTGGGCCTCAAGGAATGTATTCTGGCATGATGGCTGAACGTGGTTTACTTACAGTCATAATTTTTGCTTTGCTGTCTATCAGTCAAGGTAAGCTTGAACAGACTTAAGGCATGGGGGGGGGGGGGAGGGGTAGCTGCGTAGCTGCCTAGATACTGGTATTGGTCCAGAAACAACATTTTCTCTGTTGCTTTCCGGAAATGCTAATTTAAGGTGGCTCACTTGGCTTTTCTTTTAGTTTTCAACATATTGATTCTTTCTTGATTTTCTCCTCTACACCTTTTCGTTTGTCTCCTCCTCCTTTTCTACTGACATTCAAAGTATCAAGATTATTTCTGCAAACTTTAGAAAGAAAACATTTGGTCAAGCACAGCCTTTATGCTCTGATAGTTTAACATAGCTCATGAGTTAATATTTTTGGAACTTTGCAGAAAGATAAATCTTGTTTTCTTGGTAATGATTCAGTCGTAAAAGGGCTTCGCTGAACTCGCTATTTAGTTACAAGGAGAGAAAGTTTAATTGTGGGTGTTTACAAGAGCGTTTACTGTAGCTATGGAAACCTTGTATGTGTAAAAACTTGAAATGATTAGGATTTTGACACTCTTTCCAAGGGTATACACCAAAAAAGTGGAGTTGCATGGATAGAGAAGTAGTGTCTTCCCACCTTTTTTAAAGAATTCCTTGCCATTTTATCAAAGCTTGCAGCTGCCTTCTTTTCAAATCCCAATTTCACTTACTCATGATTTCAAGACTCTAGCATTGAATGAGTTGTATCTTTCCAAAAGCTTCTACAAACCAATCGTTACTTCATCGAAAACGAACTGATCTTAATGAAAGTGAAAACATGGTGATTCAAATGGAAGCGAAAACGAAGTGGCCTTAACGAGAGCACTGTATGTCATGCTCACGTAGATTTTTTGTCCCAAATGTACTACAAATATTTTCACAGACACTTCTGTGTTCTATAGTCCTTGTGTCTTAAATTAAGATTGATTTCAGCTTTTTTGACTTGCAGGTTTGGAAAGCTGTTCTGAGCCGTGTCTCATATACACTGCCAGGAACAGAATTGATGCCATTGAGTTAGCTTCCTCCAGAGTGGTCAACCTGGCGTCCAATCTCACGTTCCCAGTCGATATTGCCGTCGATGTAAGAGAACGAACATTTTACTGGAGTGACATCAACCAACGTGTTATCAAACGTATGAACATGTCCAGCGGTGTCACCAAGGACATTATTACAGAGGATCATGGATATGTCGGCGACCTTGC